AAAGAAATGTGAGTGATGCAACAAAATTATGAAGAGATTAAAAGCTTGGCAAAAGAGGCACCAAAAACACTGAAGAAAACATTACCTTAAAAAACAGAATTGGTCAAATGGTACAAAAGCTCACTGAAGAAAAGAACTCTTTGAAAATTGGAATTGGCTAGAAAAAAATATTTCATCTAGAAGAACAAAAAGTCAAGAATATCATAGGAATCAATGAAAACAAATTGGTGGCCCAGCAGTACCAGAGGGAAGAGGGACAGGTGTGGGGGTTAAAGATGATTAATAAACTTTAGACGAGATGAGTGGGAGATGCTGTCAGGAGAGCCTTTATAGTCAGTATGCAGACCTATGGCTCAGGAGAAAAAGGAGAACTGGATATGTGAATTTGGGATGTAGTAATAACTAGAGGGCTAAATTTGTATTCAGAAGGCCAATCTCTGATACCATGTGGCCTTGAGGCAAGTCACTTAGCTTCTCTGAGGCTTTACTTTCCTCCTCTGGCAAATAAGGGCCCTAAACTCAATAGCCTTGAAGAGCCCTTTAGTTCTCTAGCTCTGAATGAGCAAGGCCCTTTAGGAGAAAGTATGGCCACTTCTCTAGGGCTCCCAAGGTCAACATCCCTACCAACTGCCACCTGTGAGGCAAGAAAGTTGAAGTAGTAAGGCATCCTGAGGGAGAAGTGGAGGGTTGTAGGTGTCATCACCAGTACACCAACCACTTCGACTGCCACCTCCTTTTAGACTGTAATGGAGACATCTTAGGACTTTTGAGTTGAAGAGCCTTGGCAGTAGCAGTTCCCTCTGCCCCCAAAACCACCAACCAGGCCATCTGTGTAGGGCAGTGGCCTCTGTGGAGAAAGGGCCTGCCATCTTTCCCAAATCCCACAGATCACTGGGCCTGCTTCCAGACTAGCTTCTACAGCCATCATCTGGGTCAGTAACCACACTTCCCTAATGCAGATTCAGTCTGGCAGCTGATGCTGAAGGCACTGCCCCCATACCTACTGAGTGGGCAGGAAAGGAGGTCCTCATCACCAAAGTCCTTAGCATCATTAAATGGCTCACCGAGAAAAACAGACATGGTTTTGTCTGTGGAAATGACATTGCCAATGCACCGTCAGGATTTTAGGGCCCTTCCATCTTACTTGCAGCTGAAACCTCTTTTCTCTGTTCGACGGTTAGCTCCTTGAGGGGAGGGACCTTCTTGCTTTTCTGTGTGTATCCCCAGTGCTTTGCACATAGTAAGCACTAAATACTTTTTCATTCATTCATTTTACTCATGAGGAAACTGAAGCTTAGCGGACTTAGTGACTTTTCCAAGGTCACACATCTAGTGAGTGCCAGAGACAGGATTTGAACCTAGAAAGGCCTCTCCTTCCTCTAAGTACACTGTGCTGCCATTCACCTCCAAAGGTACTAGTTAAAGTCATGAGAGAAATGAAGATGCCTGGGGAGAGAGCAAGGGAAAGGGGGTTGACCACACTGCCAGGGTGCCAGGAAAAGGCTGGACCAGTCTGTCCCATCACCACTTAAAAGCTCTGATAGAGGGATGGGTGCAGAAAGAAAGATTTAAGGCAGAGTGGGGATCTTAACTCGGGTTCTGTGAACTTGAGTTGTTGGAGTTTTAAAAACATTTTGATATAACTATTTCAGTAGATTCAGTTTATCTTAGGGCGCTATCTATTTTATTTTATGCCCTTAAAAACACTATTCTGAGAAGAACTCCACAGGTTTCACCAGCCCATGCCCCTGGTGTCCAGGACCCACAAAAAAAGAAAAATACTGAAACCCAGCCCTAAAGCCCTTTCCATGTTTGAAACTGGAAACACCTGGGAGGCAGTGGGCAGAGCTCCCAGAAAGGGACTAGGCATGAACAGCTTGATCCTGAGCTGCAGAAGGTGAGGCTTCAGTTCCTCCAGCCCATCTCTGGTTAAGGCTGTAGGAGGCAAAGCTGAGGCCCTCTTGGAGGCAGTGCCTCCCTTAAGGACCTGAGTGCTTTGGTCCTGCTTCTCTGCCTGGGTCTCTTCCTGCACAAAGGCTCCCTCTTGCTAAGTGGGCCCTGGTCTTCTGCTCTTCAGATCCTGAAGGATCTGAGCCTGTCAAGTTGGCAGGGGACCTGAGGGGCCATCCATCCCAACCCTTCTGCTCCTTTTCCATAGAATGGAAGTGAGGCATGTAACCCAGGGTTACGTGGCCCGTCCCTTTTGTTTGCCTCTTTCTTAGTATCATATTTGGGATCTGTCTGTCCTTCCTCCTGTTGCCTCCACTTGGCCAAAGTCAAGTGCTTAGACCAGGCTTCCTCTGCCTCTCCCTGAGTCACAAAAATGCCTCTTTTTTTCTTTCAGATCTTCAAGGGCAATCAGGATTATTCCAGCCCCGTGGTGAACCCTGTGAGGCCTCCGCTCTTTGCCAGACACCTGAGGATTCACCCCTGGAGCTGGGCCAACCATATTGCTTTGAGAGTGGAGGTTCTGGGTTGTGACACTCAGCAGCTGTACTAATGGGTTAGGGTTGGGATAGGCTTTGCTCTGAATAGCCCCTTCCCATAATTTTCTCCTAACCCTTTCAGCCCTTCTGGTCCACCACCCCTTTCTCTTCCCAACATCTCAGCCACCTCTGCTATTAGTGATGTTGTGATTCAAATACTACAGGTCAGGGAGAATTCTGGGATTTCTGACTATCTCTTGACCTATTATAGAAGTAACAGAAACGAAGGTACCCCCACTTTCCTACCTTTAATCCCCTCCCTGCTAGCTTGTCTCCCCAAGAGTAACATGGATCGCACTCTACCTCACCTAGAACAGGGCAGCTTAGCCGGAGCAACACTCCAGACTGAGTAAAAGAAGCTGGCTCTGGAATGGAGGGGCTCACCTGTCTTTGTGGGGGAGGTGGATTATCTGTGACTATTTCTAGCATTCCATTAAACTACACTGTCTCTGCAAACATGGTTCTGCTGATTCATGTTCCCCAATCCAGGATGGCCTGAATAAGTCCAAGTTGGTTTTAATCATTGCTAACAATGAATTGCCTGTATGGGTCCACTCAAATCAATTCTTAATCCTTTACTAGAAGTCCTCCTTGGCTGAACTTTTCCGTAAATCAACTCAGACAGAATCCATATCTCTGAGGGAAAAATTTGAAAGGGCTAGAAAAAGAAGAGAAAGATAAACAGTTGGGAAGAGGAAGAGAGGAGGAAGGGAGAGAGACAGGGATAGAAAGAGAGGGAAAGAAGAACAAGAGGGAGGGGAAGAGAAGAAGAGGGATAGAGAGAAGGAAAAAAAGAGAAGGTAGGGAAAGTGAGAAAAGGGAGAAGGAGAAAGAGGAGAGAAAGAGGGAGTATGAGAAAGAGGGAGAAAGAAAAGAGAGTGATTGAGATTGGGGGGGATTTTTTCTTCCTTGGGAACTATAAGAGATAGTGGTTTTCATGGTGATAGTAATGAAGAAGAAGATAATGCTATTCTCCAAACATTTTATGTGCCTTCTTTACCAGAAACTGAGCAAGGGGAGTGTACCACTTCTCCCCATCCCCCCCCAACACACACACACACACACACACACACACACACACACACACACACACACACACACACACACACACACATACCACCACCACCACCACCACCACCACCAGCCTGTATGTAGGAAATCTCCATCCTCTTCTTCAAGGGGCCTGGAGTTGCAGAAAAAAAAAAAAAGAGGTTCTCTCCTCAGTTCAAATGAAGGGGACAAGAGCACTGGGTCCCTGGAGAGAATAGTGTCTGAACTAGTCTTCAACCTCTGCCTTTTGCAGAGGCAATGACTGGTGGCTTCAGTACCTGCTGGCCTGAATCCTTCCTTTTCCATTTTGCATTTTCCCTCTCTCCCTTTCCACTGGTTTCTCCTCTTTTGCTTCCAAACAAGCTCAAGTCTCCTAAACAACAAGGCTCTCCTTAATCCTACTGCCCCCTCTACTATTACTAGAGCCAGACTGGGGCACTGCAGCTTTGTGATCCACTCCTCAATGTGGGATCATAAATCCAGGGCAGACTGGGAAAGGCACCTACAGCTGGGGGTGGCATTCCTGGGGACAGAGGCCCTGGGCAGTGTATCAAGAAAATAAGAAGTGCATAAGTCAGCAGCAGCCTCAGTGGTGGTGTGGCTCAGACCCCAGGAACAGAGCAAGAAAGAGAGGGGAAGAAGACTAAGATGAAGAGGAAGGGAGGGGGAGAAAGGAAAGATGTTTTAGCCTCTAGCTCAGCCTGCAGAGAAATAATTAGGGCAGAAATCCCAGACCAAAAGGAAGCCTGTAGGTGTGAAACCAATTCTGTCAGTTCAAAGTAATTCCACCACTTGGACAGAGCAGAGCCTGCCAGCTGACTGATTAAGGGCTTGAGGCCAGCAGCATCTACTGTTACTCAGACTTAAAACCAGAACAGAAACCAGCAGAGTTCAGACCAGGGAGACAGCAATCAGACTCTGCCATGGATTAGACTACTCTGAGAGCACTGAGAGCTTACAGGTCTCGAGTCTGAGCTATCCCTGAGAGCCTGGAATAACACAACACTCAGTACCCTGAGAAAGCAGCAGCAACAGGACCAGCCCAGACCTTCCCTCTAGAAGTGTGATGCCCAACATCAACTCAGGAAGGAAGTTGGAAGAATGGGCAGTCACAGAAAGAACTCCACTATAATATAATGGTGGCAAGGATGTTTGAGACACAGACCTAAAAGAGGATTCCAAAATATCTTCAAGCAAAGGCTCAGACAAAAATGTAGCTTGGGCACAAACTCAACCAGAATTCCCAGAAGAGATGAAGCAAGAGTTTAAAGGAAAAGAGTTTTAATTTTTTTTTTTATCAATAAAATGAGAACATGAGTTAAAAATGGGAAAAGAAATGAGGGCTATGGAAGAGAAAATTGGAAAGGGAACTAAAAGCTTGGCAGAAGAGGTACAAAAGCTGCCCAGGCAACAAAATTGAAAATTAGAATGGACCAAATATGAGGCAACAAGAAATACTAAAACAAAGGCAAAAGCCTGAAAGAAAAAAAAAAAGAAGAAAATGTAAAGTATCTCATAGTAAAAACAACTGACCTCTTTCCCCCTTCTTTGCACAGAGTATAAACATAGACCTCCCAGCTCCAGACTCCAAAACCCGGAACTTGATTGGGGAGAAAAAAAAAAAAGTAAGAATTAATGGACCAAAAAAAAAAGGCCCTAGGCATTACGTTTGGAGAAATAAAACTGCCCAGCTCTCTTAGAACCTGACAGCATAGTGGAAATAGAAAGAATCTACCAGTCACCTCCTGAAAGAAACCCCAAAATGAAAAGTGCTGGGAACATCATAGCCAAAATGCAGGACTCACAGGTCAAAGGGAAAGTCTAAATTCTTTGGCTTGGCATTCAAGGCCTTTAATAATCTGACTCCAACCAACTTTCTCCATATCACTCACTGGGTTCCTCACTCCTTGGCCCAGCCAAACTGTACTCCCTGCAGTCTCTTAGATCCACCCCATGTGTGATAGTGTGAGAGGTTAGAAAGCATGGAGTGGACTTGGGGCTACAGTAGCAATAGTTTGTTACCTTCCTCTCTGTACCTCAGAGGAGAATGGTCATCCCCAAGTCATCACTCAGTACTAGCAAGGACAATCACCCTGCCTACCTCTGAGGTAGTCTCTCTACCTCAAGGTTGGTCTTCTGCCAGGCCAGGCCCTCTTCTTGTCTTCTTTATTCTTCCCCAGTATCTCTTGTGTGAAAGTAGACCCAAGCCCTCATTCTGTCAAAGACTGACCCGTCACTGTATCCTAGAATGCAGTCCTCGAGTCTCCACAACTTCATTCCAAACCTAGGGAAGAAGAAAGAATAGTCAGCAGCCATTATGTGTCCCAGGGCTCTTCCGGAAGGAAGATGCTCAAAGACCCAGGTGAGGATAGTCTGGGGCCTACCATGGAGCTCTACATGCAACTCTAACTGGATTCTTTTTGAACCTGTTATTTGAAGGGCTGCCTCAGTCTGTAAGTACTTCCACTTACTGCCTGGGGAACCCAGGGTAAGGCTATTCCCCTCTTTGACCCTCAGTTTCTTCTCCTCAACTAGGGGCTTTGATTAGATTATGCCTTTGTGGACCCCATTTTCCCCATCTGAAAGCTGAGACATGCATCATGACTCTGAACCATCCCAGTAGGAGATCATAATTTATTTGAGATGCGAGAAAGCAAAAACAGTGAACATAGTGAGGAGATAGTAGGGGCCACTGTCTTCTGAGATTGAGCTACACTTCCCTGAGGTTGCTGTTTTGCCTGATGACACTACAATTAGAGATTCACTCAGGATTTCTTGGACTTGGCCATAATTCTGGTTAGTGTCAAAAGCATAATCATCAGTCTTGAGAGCCAAGATCCGTCTCAAGAGTGGCTTTCGGGCCATCCTTAGATTAAAAGAATATTCCTGATGGACAGAGGTAAGGGTTAGTGAGGGCTTCCTGGAGGAGGAGACATTTGACCTGGGCCTTGAAGGCCATGGAGGATTTGGTGAGGCAGAAATGAAAGGGGGGACAGTTTGAGTGAGGATACATCCAATATGTCTTGGGCAAGCCTGTGCTGGCATACCAGGGGATAAGGAGGGGATCCCCGGTGAGAAAGAGGACACTGGCTTCTCTCTGTGGTCAAAGAGCTTGAAAGGAGAGTGAATTGAGTATAACTCATTAAATGAATGAATTCCCTATTTGGAAAGTACAGTGTCAAAAGAGGCAAGACTCACCTAGCTGGAATTCAGTCCTGCTTAGGCTCTGTTGTCAGAGCAACACAGGAATGTTTGGTAACAAAGCCAGTGACCTCACAAAGGTCTTATCCCCAGTGTTCCTGAAGCTCAAGGGCAAACTGGAGCCAGAGCTGGAGAGGACCTGAGGGCAGAGGAAGACCACGGTCTGATTTTGTCTTCAGGGAGCTCTCATCACTCCAAGTCACTGCTGTGGTGAGTGCCATTCATCTCCAGGATGGGGAAGGGGAAGAAGGGGAGGCCTGCTGGGAAATGGTGCCCACTCAGCCCCCACCTGCCCACTCAGCTTTGCTGCTTTGAAAGAAAAACCACTTCCTGGGCTTTGAGCTCTAGAGCTGGAAGTGCCCTCAGAGACTATTTAGTCTATCCCCAAGGCCCCAGGGGTGGGAGGGGGCAGTGACTTGCTCAAGGTCACACAGGTACCACAGAGTGTCACAAACAGTATCAAAATCCAGGAAACCCTTTAGGCTGACGTAAAGTGTCAGACCTAACAAAATAAACACAAACACATCTAGAGAAATTGAGGATATGAGAATTTCCCCTAAAAGACTGGTTGGCATGGATATGTGACACAAGTCTCCAAATGGGACTTCAGCCACTAAAGCCTCTCCTTCTCCCCCGAACCTCAGTTTCTCTATCTGCAAACTGAGTGGGGTAGATCTTGAAGGACTCTTCCAGATCAGATTTTGTTTGTTTGTTTGTTTGTTTGTTTTTAGGCAATTGGAGTTAAGTGACTTGCCCAGGGTCA